TCTGTTTAAGCTCGCTCAACTCTTGTTTGAGTGCAAAAATTTCATCGTCATCCGACTGTTTGCTACCAACCAACTTGTGCAACTCATAAATCTCCTGCTGCAGTCGAGACATGCCTTCCCCATCTCGTTGGCTGCTCCCTTCCCCACTCACCTTTCTCCTTAAGTCCTCGTTTTCACACCGTAGACGTGCCAATTCATCATTCTTCCCAAATTCGTTACCTCCCCCGTTAATCTTTTTCAATAACTCCTCATTCTCATGTTTTAGACGCATCATCTCCTCAGATTGACTATTCCCATTCGGCACCTCCTTCTTCTTTAACCCCAATTCTTCAAAACGTTTGTCCAGTCGATATGCCATCTCGGTTTCCAGCCTCTCCCTTTCTTTCTTCCATTCGTTTCGTCTATCATCCTCCTCCTTCTTTTTCTTCTCCATTTCCTCCAGCTCCTTCTTCCTCTTCTCACTTTCCTCGTCTTGCACAAATTTGTTGTACACCTTGTCCAGCCTCTCCTGGTTCTCCTTCCACCAGTTGGTTCTTGGACGCGGTTGATAACCGAACGACGAACCGATGGATCTGGATGAGGAAGGCACGTGATTAGTAACAGTGGCCGGAGTCCCACTTGGCGCAGTCAAGGCGAGCACCGAGGTGGCATTAGCGCCTGTAGCTGGCGGCGGTCGGAAGCCATACGGCCGTTGCGGGCACTCCCTCATCCAGTGATCCCTAGCTCCGCAAGTGAAACAACCTTGGTTGGGCAGTGCGCCCGCCATTACTCAATCGGACAACTTCCATACAAGGATCAAACCCTCCCCCACAATCAAGCATAACAAGTTAAAAAACCAATCAAATTCATAAAACAAACTTCCAGGTCCCGTCACAACAAATGATAAAGGGCCACGAGTCACACACACGTAGTGCAATTTCTACGGTGGTTCCAACTTCGAAAGGATGGTTAGTACGCCTAAGCGAGCTCATCAACCGAGTCATCATTCATAGCAGATCGAAACCAAGAATCGGCCATAAACAGCCTAAACAGAGACATCATTCATGATACAGCAACCATTC